CCTCTGGCGTCCCAAGCGAGTTCTTAACCATCGCGCCACTCGGCCGGCCCAGGGCTATCTCTTTTTGAATTTTATCCAACTGACTTTTTCTAGCTGTTTGCTGGTTGCTGCTTGTTATTTCAGTTGTTTGATTGTTTTCAGGTTTTGGTTTTTTTTTTTCTTTATCTCACGGTCTCATAATGTCTGCTGAGAAAAGGTGTTTGTGGTTTGCTTCCTGTTTTTCAGCTTGTGGCCTCACTCTTCCTTTGTGTTTAGGGGCTGTGTTTGAGATTGGCTTATTATTTTGCCCTTGTGTTTTCATAATGTGGGGTGGCCTCTTGTGCAGCTTGAGGTCAGTGACTTGTTTGTTCCTTAGAGCTGAAGGAAGTTCTAAAGGTCATTTCCATATGGGCTCCTCACTGGGTTCTTCACTTAGAACTGCTTGATAAGTTACCGATTTCACTGGAAATACTATGTCCAAAAATTTCATCTAAGAAAGCAGCCACATTTATGCAGTTGATGGCACATTTAATCTTGTGCAAGAAAAAGCTAGTATAATGCAAAAACTTGTATACCTGTTATTAACACACAACCTGGCGGCACATGTAAGCAGTACTGTTGAGCTCCTCCTTACCTGGGCACCAAGAAAAGGATGTAAAATTAGAAGCAGCTGTTCTGGAAATGTTTGTGTTTTTTTAACACCCCATGCCTCCATTTGTCTCAAATTTACAATCACATAGCAAGTAGCAACACGCTTTGACAAGAGTTTGACTACAAGGCCACACTTATCATAAATAGGGTTATTTGGGGGTAGTTGCACAGATTTATTCCAATAAAAGAAGGTGCACCCTTCTTTAAATCCCACTTGATCATGGTGTGGAGGATTTTGCATGTTTGTTCATCAAGGATATCGGCCTGTAATTTTCTTGTAATGTCCTTGTCTGGTTTTGATATCAGGGTTATTCTGGCCTGTGTTTCTTCCCATTCAATTTTTGGAAGAATTTGAGGATTGGTATTAATTCCTTTTTAAATATTTGGTAGAGTTCACCTGTGAAACTATATGGTTTGGGCTTTTCTTGGTTGGGGGATTTTTGATTAGTCCTTTAAACTCCTTACTCATTATTAGTCTGTTCAGACACTGTGTTTCTTCATGATTCAGTCTTGGTAGGTGTATGTTTCTAGGAATTGTATCAATTTCTCCTAGCTTACCCATTTGTTGGCATATAATTGTTCATAGTAGCCTCTTATAATCCTTTGTATTTCTGTGGTATCAATTGTAATGTTTCCTTTTTTTTCCCCCTGATTTTATTTCTTTGCGTCTTCTCTTTCTTTTTAAAATTAGCCCAGCTAAAAGTTTGTCAATTTTATTTACGTATTAAAAAAACCATCTCTTAGTTTTGTCGATCTTTTCCAATGTTTTTCTGGTCTCTAGCTCTGCTCTGAACTTTATTTTCTTGCTCTGAGAACTTTGGGCTTTGTTCTTTTTTTTTCTGGTCTTTGAGATATAAAGTTGTTGGAGATCTTTCTACTTTTCTTAATGTAGGCACTTATCCCTATAACCTTCCCTCTTAAAATTGCCTTTGCTGCATTCCATTTTTGCATATTGCGTTCCCATTGTTTGTTTCAAACTATTTTTGTATTTCTCTTTTGACTTCTTCCTTGGCCCATTGGTCATTCAGGAATGAATTAATTTCCATGTTTTTGTAAATTTTCCAGTTTTTCTCCTGTTACTAACTTCTTTAGTTTCATACTATTGTGGTCAGAAGAGATACTTGGTGTTTTTTCAATATTTCAAAATTTGCTAAGGCTTGTTTATATATGTATAT